TTGCTCTTCGTCGTCTAAAGGTTTTTATATACTTTTAGAAAGACTAGGAGTTATTACATGATTCATAGGCTTGAAGTAGGTATTGAGGTTTATTTTGTGAGTGTGGGACATCACTTCCGAAACGTTTCGGAATAAAGTTGTCTAACTGTTGCATATGTGTCTTACCTAACAACCTGTCGGTATTGTATACCATTTTGATGTACATCACGGGGTTACTGGACGTGAAGCTTCGTTGTTAACTACTGACATGGTATAAACCTTGGTAATAAATACCGACAAGTTGGTTTAGAAAGACATGTAAGCAAACACTACATATTAGAAAACGTTTCGGTCCTGGGACCTTGATCACTTCCTGATCAAGGTGTGATCAAGGTCCCAGGACCAAAACGTTTTCTAATAAATATGTCAGTGTTTGCTTACGTGTCTTTCTAAACCAACTACTGACTTATACACTGAACATATGTATGAGATTTGTCTCAGGTTTCTCAATATCTGAGATAGTTGTTGCTGGGTGTAGTAACTGGTAAGACAATAAGTCGACTCTAACATTCTACAGACAAATTAGACAGATGTGCAACATTTGGGTAGCTTTAATGAGGAAATGTTTCGCTACACAGTGGCTTCATCAGTCCATACAAAGGAGAATGGTGAAGAACAGGAGGTGTGATCAGTCCATCAAGATTGATGGACTGACCACATCGACTCAAGGCTGAGGGACTGAATACCTCAAACACCTCCTGTTGTTCACCATTCTCCTTGGTATAGACTGATGAAGCCACTGTGTGGCGAAACGTTTCCTCATTAAAGATACCCAAATGTTGCACATGTGTCTAATTTACCAACTTGTCGGTTCTCTGAACCATTCATCAACATTCTACAGACAGGGGCGGATCTACTGTGAAAATAATGAAGTTTAAGCTTCAGGGCCCCTAATCCTGGAGGGGCCCCAGAAGCCACTTTAGTCCACATTGCTTAAAGATTTTTATCTACTGAATGAAAATGGTCTGCGAAGGGGCCCCCATAACAGTTCAAGCTTCAGGGCCCCAAAAACGTAGGTCCGCCACTGGCTACGGGTCCTCCATGGATTTTGAAAGAAAAAAAAAACAAAGGATTTCTGACGAATCGACAGAACAATTCCCGTCATGGGCTTGTGATCAAAGAATTTAATGCTACCCCTCCCTTTCCTCGGATCAAACCTGATTATCTATTCTCCCGAAGCTGTATAACCCCTACGGCCTTAGCGCTTCCCCGTGAATTTAATAATGCCGCCGTCTGTGTATTACCTGGAGTTTACCTGGAGAGAGTTCCGGGGGTCAGCGCCCCCGCGGCCCGGTCTGTGACCAGGCCTCCTAGTGGATCAGAGCCTGATCAACCAGGCTGTTGCTGCTGGCTGCACGCAAACCAACGTACGAGCCACAGCCCGGCTGGTCAGGAACCGACTTTAGGTGCTTGTCCAGTGCCAGCTTGAAGATTGCCAGGGGTAAGATAAGATAAGATTTCGTTCGGATTTTTAACCCCGGAGGATTAGCCACCCAGGATAACCCAAGAAAGTCAGTGCGTCATCGAGGACTGTCTAACTTATTTCCATTGGGGTCCTTAATCTTGTCCCCCAGGATGCGACCCACACCAGTCGACTAACACCCAGGTACCTATTTGCTGCTAGGCGAACAGACAACAGGTGTAAGAAACGTGTTCCCCTGAATGTTATCCACCCGCCGGGAATCGAACCCGGGCCCGTCCGTGTGTGTAGCGGGAGCTTAGCCACCAGGCCACCGGTAACCCGCCCTTAATGTATGCTGGGAGGCATTTGAACAGTTCTCGGGCCCCAGACACTTATTGGTGTCCCTCTTAAAAACGCTAGTGACACCCCTGCTTTTCATGGGGATGTGCAACATCCGTCTGCCAAGTCTTTTGCTTTCGTATGGAGTGATTTTCGTGTGCAAGTTCGTACTATCCCTCTAGGTTTTCCAGGTGTATATAATCATGTATCTCACCCGCCTGCGTTCCAGGGAATACAGGTTTAGGAACCTCAAGCGCTCCCAGTAATTGAGGTGCTTTATCTCCGTTATGCGCGCCGTGAAGGTTCTCTGTACATTTCTAGGTCAGCAATTTCACCTGCCTTGAAAGGTGCTGTTAGTGTGCAGCAATATTCCAGCCTAGATAGAGCAAATGACCTGAAGAGTGTCATCATGGGCTTGGCCTCCTTAGTTTTTGAAGGTTCTCATTATCCATCCTGTCATTTTTAGCAGATGCGATGATACAATGTTATGGTCCTTGAAGGTGAGATCCTCCGACATGATCACTCCCAGGTCTTGACGTTTGGTGTTTCGCTCTATTTTGTGGCCAGAATTTGTTTTGTACTCTGATGAAGATTTAATTTCCTCGTGTTTACCATATCTGAGTAATTGAAATTTCTCATCGTTGAACTTCATATTGTTTTCTGCAGCCCACTGAAAGATTTGGTTGATGTCCGCCTGGAGCCTTGCAGTGTCTGCAATGGAAGACACTGTCATGCAGATTCGGGTGTCATCTGCAAAGGAAGACACGGTGCTGTGGCTGACATCCTTGTCTATGTCGGATATGAGGATGAGGAACAAGATGGGAGCGAGTACTGTGCCTTGTGGAACAGAGCTTTTCACCGTAGCTGCCTCGGACTTTACTCTGTTGACGACTACTCTCTGTGTTCTGTTAGTGAGGAAATTATAGATCCATCGACCGACTTTTCCTGTTATCCTTTAGCACGCATTTTGTGCGCTATTACGCCATGGTCACACTTGTCGAACGCTTTTGCAAAGTCTGTATATATTACATCTGCATTCTTTTTGTCTCTAGTGCATTTAGGACCTTGTCGTAGTGATCCAATAGTTGAGACAGACAGGAGCGACCTGTTCTAAACCCATGTTCCTTGGTTGTGTAATTGATGGGTTTCTAGATGGTGTGATCTTGCTTCTTAGGACCCTTTCAAAGATTTTTATGATATGGGATGTTAGTGCTATCGGTCTGTAGTTCTTTGCTGTTGCTTTACTGCCCCCTTTGTGAGTTGGGGCTATGTCTGTTGTTTTTAGTAACTGTGGGACGACCCCCGTGTCCATGCTCCCTCTCCATAGGATGGAAAAGGCTCGTGATAGGGGCTTCTTGCAGTTCTTGATGAACACGGAGTTCATGAGTCTGGCCCCGGGGGCAGATGCAGGGGTTGTCTTTTTTTAACGCCTGTTCGAAGTCTTTTGGGGCGTCGGGAAACATGGGATAGGCTTTTTTTAAACCCCCAAAAATTTTGTGTCTCCAAAAAAGATTAGTTTTGATTTTCGATCTCAGGGGGTTGGGGGGCTTCTAAAAACTGAGTCAAGGGACTTGAGTACTCCTTTTTTCCCTTTGCTGTCACTTGTGGACCCATCTTGTTTAAGTAGGGCCCAATACTGGACGTTTTTCTCGACTTCAAAAGGGCATAGAGAAAAATCTTGGGGAGCTTTTTGATATTTAGTTTTTTTTTTTTAAATTCGATTAAAAATTGATTTTGATTTCGGTGGTGATTATTTGTATCATGACATGCACGAGTGTTATAAGTGTAGCTTAAGGGGCACGTAATTTCTCCTTCTTCTAATAACAGTTCGTTTTTCCACTATAACTACCTGTCTATAATTACTATCGCATTGCTTTGTCTGCACAAGCTTGTTGGCACAAGTCTGGTTGTGCACAATCCTGACCTTTGCTCAGACTTGTGCAACACAATTTCCTCAAAGATCTGAAAAAGTTATACCATGAATTAAAAAAGACCGACTTCATTTTACGAAAAGACACAGAAAATGCGATATAATAAGACACGAAATGTCTATTAGTAGACACGAAAGTTATTAGTAGACGGGGCGCTCGGGCGCCACTTGAGGTGGGTGATACATGACACATCAAACTACATCAAAAACAAAGACGGGGGATTATTTATAATTTTGACCTTAAAAATGTTTACAATGCGATAATTTAATGCACTCCAATAATTTGCTTCAAGTGAGGCGCTCGCACAAAGAATGAAAAAGAGAGGGTTATAACAAAAAAACTTATAATGATTTTTTACCTGAAAAGGGGGTTTTTATCATGTACCTGAAAAGCCTTTTGTAAGTGAAAACGCCCGTATTTAATAAATGATTTGCTTTTCTTTTTTTTTTTTTTTTTTTTTTTTGGGTCCCAAAATCCCACTCATTGCCACTTGCTAAATTTTTTATTTTCCCCCACCCTAAAGTTACCCTGCCCCTTTCCGGTTTTAAAGCGATATTGTAACTGCGAAAATGATATCATAACTAAAATCTATCTCAAAGCTTATCAGTGCGGTTCAGAGGAGTCACCACCAATAGGCGACAAGTGAAACCGCTGGCTTCAGCCACATGACAGAAAGACCTCAATCCCTGGGCCCCCCATGAACTACAAACCTCAATTCCAGTCCATAGGACGATATTCGCAGCTTTATGTGGGCTAAAATTGATTAGACTTGTCTGGATCAACACCTCAAGAAGGTAGGTTAATGTTTCCGGCGGGGGGCTCTTTTTCCCAAAAAATCGGACGTGGCCTCCCCCTTCTTTGGATCAACCCCTGATGCCCCCTTTTCTCCCAACTTTTTTAAAGTTTCCCGCGAGTTCAGCGTTTTCCTTTTCCCATAATAATAATTGATAACCTAAACTCGCTGGGGTTGGGGCCCTAAATTTGTTGGGGCTACGTTGAATCAAAGAATTAGATATGTGGATCGAAATTTGCAAAGCCAGACGGTTTGTATCAGATGTATAAACCTAAAAATTTGCTACGCTTGATGGGTGTTATTAACCATTGTAGACCAGAGAGATCTAGGGTTGCGTGGATAGGGCCGCTTGTGTGGAATTTTCTAAACCCTTAGACCCGAAAACCAGCTTGTGTAGACTGTTATTCTACCAATGTAACCAGAAAGAGCCAGCTTTTCAATATATTAAAGAGGGCGTTTACAAGGTTAAGGTTTTAGTGAGCCACCTCAGCGCACCTCCACAACAACACCCAACATGGATCCCAAAAAAACAGAAGTTCTTCCTTCCGCCATTGCAACAAGATGATGTAATTTGTGCAAATTTTTTGTTTTTTTGAAAAATTATAAGCATTATTCAAATTGCACTGCATAATACTTTCAAATTTGTTCTGTAAAAAACACGCAAATGTCTTCCAAATACCGTTCGTTTATTTCTCCTGACCTAACAAGTAAAGTAATTTTTCATGGTTTTTCTTAATACTTTTTTCGTTTCAATTTGGTTAGGTTAAATTAACAAAGTAGCAAAAAGTAGCAGGGGGGTCCCGGTAGCAGAATGGTGGGAGGGGGGTGCCGGGGAGCAGAGTGGTAGGGGGGTGCCCGGGGACAGAGTGCAAGGGGTGCCAGGGTACAGGTGGCAGGGGTGTGCCAGGGTACAAGTGGCAGGGGTGGCAGGGTAAGAGAATGAGTGGCAGGGGTTGGGCCAGAGTAGGAATGTTTTCAGGGTGTGTAGGGAGTAAGTGGCAGGGGGTACCAGGGTTCAGAGTGAGCGGCAGGGGTTTTGCTAGAGTAGGAAAGTGGTGGCAAGGGGGCCGGGGGACAGAGGCATGGATGTGCCAGGGGATCAGAGTGAGTGCAGGGGGGTGCCCAAATAGGAAGTGAGGTAAAGTTGCCAGGGGGGTACCGGGTATCAGATGATGGGAGGGGATTTCCCGAGTAGGGGATTGAGTGGCAAAAGGGGGTTCCCGATAGGGGAAATGAGTGGCAGGAGTGTACCAGGGGAGCAAGTGGGAGGGGTTAAACCCGGGTATAATGTGAGTGGCAGGGTGTGCCCGAGTAGGAGAGTGAGTGGAAGGGTGTGCCAAGTAAGAGTGAGGGCAGGAGTTGCCAAGTAGGGGAAATGAGTGGAGAGTGTGCCCAAAAGGGGAAATGATACAGGGTGTGCTAGGTAGGAGAGGAGTGGCAGGGTGTCCAGGTAGCAGAGTGGGAGGGGTGTACCAGGGTTTAATTGAGTGGGAGGGGGGTGCCAATAGGAAGTGATGACAGGGGATGCTAGGGAGGAAGTGAGTGGGAGGGGGGTCCAGGGGAGCAGAGTGGGGGGGTTACCAGGGATCAGTTGAGGGGGGAGGGTTTGGGCCCGATAGGAGAGTGAGTGACAGGGGGGCTAGGTAGGAGAGTGAGTGGGAGGGGTTGGGCCCGGGACAAGTGATGGCAGGGGTGCCAAAGTGGAAGTGAAGGGGGGGGTCAGGGGGAGGGGATAGTGGAGGGGGGTGCCAGGGTACAAGTGAGCGGTACACACACACCACTCTCTCTCTCTGTCTTTTTTTTTTACACAGGGTTTGACAAGGTTAGGTTAAGGATCCCTAGCTTTATTGACAAGCTATTTACAGGTTAAGGATTCCTAACTTTATTGACAAGCTAAGAGCTGTTACCTACATCAGCTCATTTGAAAGCATTTTTATTGTTATGAGACATACAAGTAGGGAACAGGATGAAGTTGGAGCCATCTGTGGGCCACCATTTTCATTTGATCAACTGACTTTATCTCGTTGACATCTCTCTCTCTCTCTCTCTCCCCTCTCTCTCTCTCTCTCTCTCTCTCTCTCTCTCTCTCTCTCTCTCTCTCTCTCTCTCTCTCTCTCTCTCTCTCTCTCTCTCTCTCTCTCTCTCTCTCGTGTGATATCTCACAATAACTATCAGTATTTATCTTATCCTAAAGTCAGTCTGCTGAAGTTAGCTCCTCACTCGCCCTTCAAGGGAAACCAGTACCTTGATGTTTCCTGAAGGGCTCTTGAACTGTGGAAATTAGGAGCTGGAGGAATAACTCTTATCGGTTTAGTGCTTTCCCATCGATAATATAATAATGATACGATTCTCATTAGGTTAATATGGATTTTAGTATTATTATTGCTATCATTATTTTATTATTATTATTATTATTATTTTATTCTTATTATATTATTATTTATTATTTTATTAGTAGTAGTAGTAGTAGCAGCAGTACATTCATAGGGGCGCGTTAAACCCTTAGGGGTTTATGCAACCCCCTGTGTTAATGAGAGACATGTTTGAATCAAAGGAAGGGGCCGGTAGGTCCAAGTCTTGTATCAAGAGCTCCAGCTCTCGTCCCTTGAGGGAGGTCTATCTGCAGGTTTAGCCAGGGAAGCTTTAGCTCGATCCATGGCACTATAAATTATTTTGCCATCCCAGTTTCAAAGAGGAAGAAAGTTGGTACTTAAGTAAAAGGACACAAGTGCAGCTAATGTGACATTTTATTGTGGCAACGTTTCGCTCTCCAGGAACTTGACAAAGCTCCTTTTACTTAACATGTAATTCTACCAACGTTAATGCAAAGTTGGTACTAGTTGGTCGAGGTGTGTGGGTGGAGGGTGGGTATTAATAGGGGGGGGGATATAAACAAAGTCTTGAGGATGTCCGTCCAGGAGAGAACCCACAATAATGGATTCAAAGTGGATAGGTTTGCATTTAGAAGGGATATAGGAGAGTATTGGTTTGGAAATAGGGTTGTTGATGAGTGGAGCAGTCTGCCTAGTAGGGTCATTGAGGCTAAATCCATGGGTAGTTTCAAGTTTAGGTTGGATAAATACATGAGTGAGAGGGGTTGGATTTGAGTGGGACATGCACGTAAGTTAGTAGATTTTTCAGAGCTTATTGATAATTTATCAACTTGTCGGTTCTCTGATCCATTCATCCCAGAGCTTATTTTTAGGGTAGTACTGGAAGTGGGTTGGGTAAGTATTCTGTTAGTGGGTTGGATTTATGAAGGCCCTGCCCATTATGGGCCTACAGGCCTGCTGCAATGTTCCTCCTTATGTTCTTATGTTCACAATATCGTGTTTCCCAAAAAAGATATATACGCCAATAACCCGCACATAGGCAGAGTTTATGACGACGTTCGGTCAGACTTGGACCATTTACATTTTACAAAGTCACACTGTGTGACTTTGTAAATGGTCCAAGTCGGACCGAAACTTTATCATAAGCTTCTCTCTTCTATGTGCGGGTTATTTGTGTATTGTTCCAGACACGGTATTGAGTCTTATTGTTCTTAAAGAATATATATACCGTGATATGTATGTTTTTCAGTGTATATATGTGGTGAAAGTTTACTTTAATATTTATATTGGGGGATTATATTCTTAACTGGTAGGTTCGGCGCAGCTTTAATGACCCTCGTTTAGTTGATATGCTGTAAACCCCATTAACCCTGACTCAGGCATGGCGACGGGCAGCTGAAGGTATTTTACGTAGGCGGTCCCAACATGAGGAAGGACTTCCACATCGAGGAAGGAGAGGAATTGTTCTACATGGTGAAAGGTGACATGAAGCTCGTCACCTTACAGAACGGCTCCTTCAAGGACGTCGTCATCAAGGAGGGAGAGGTGAGATGTATGTCAACCAGGTGAGATCAGAGACACAAGTGGAGCAGAATGTCTTCAAAGCGAAGGGATGTAATCAAGCATCACAGCCACTCGGTGTTATAGAACTGTTTTGCCCCTTATCTTGAAACTGAGAGTAAAATGTAATATTTTTTGGGGAGTTCTGTTGATGATCTGAAACCATACTGAACATCAAAGATCCTCCTTCTCACTGTCTCTATACGTTGGTTTGGTGTCACAGTAACTTGGTTGTGTCGAAATACCGTGCATGTGTTTCTAGTGTATACTCTCGATGTGTTCTCAATAGTAAGTCATATGTCTCTGGTGCAAGTGTACGCTGCCATTTAGTGTAGACTCATAACAGAGTAAGCTTTTGCTGAAACAACCTTTCGCTCTGTGTAGAACTTGATCAAGTTATGACTGGGTAAAGTTCTACACAAACTGAAACGTAGTTAACATTTGGTTGCAACATACCTTAACTTCACTATTGTGGGGAATGCGCTGTTTGGATCCTACACGTTTCCCCTCCCGCATTATTATAAGTTAGGTGTTTCCCCACAAGTTTAAGTCGTTTATGAGGTCATATATGGTCCGGCAGGTGTTCCAGTTGCCCGGGAAGATCCCACACTCACCACAGCGTTACACTGACACCGTCGGTCTGGTTATTGAGCGAGAGAGAATGAAGACTGAGCTGGACTGTCTCAGGTAGACATATATTACCTTAATATACTGCTATACCCTTCCTTCCTTTCCCCATCAGACAACCCGTTAGAATTTCGATCCCCTTTTCATTTCCCCATGATTTCCTATCTCAGCATTGCTGAAATAGAGTTTTACATTGATCCCTATTTTAGGAATTGAAGTATCGTTCATTGCTGGATGAAAACGTTAACATGCACGTTAAGTTATGTAGGATTCGTTAGGAAATAGAATAATTGTTTCCTGACGGCGGTCTTAGTCACATGATGACCCGCCACTGGAGGTTTTGGTCATCTAACCGAGGCCTTCCGCTGGCTTACCGATCCACCCCCTTTAAAATATTAAGGTTGTAAGTACAACCACAAGAGTATAGTTTACATGCATTCTCAATGACCCTCGTGTAGCCGATAGTTTTTTTAAACTTTAGACACAATGAAGCAGCAACCACCAAGCATTCCCACTACGTAATCCCTTGTATATAAATGGTTCAGAGAACCGACAAGTTGATAAATTAGACACATATGCAACATTTGGGTATCTTTAGTGAGGAAACGTTTCGCCACACAGTGACTTCATCAGTCCAGTACAAATAAGCATGGTGAAAATAAGGAGTTTGAGGTAATCAGCCCTAGAGTCGATATAATCAGTCCATCAATCTTGAAAAGATACCCAAGTGTTACACGTAACACATGTGTCTAATTTATCAGCGTAATCCCATGTACCGCTAAAGTCTCTTAGTAAGTTTCCCTCCCTGACATAAACATTGTGTTTGACCAACGTGTGATCACCAGGTATTATGTGGAGGGGACGCAGGAGCCTCTGTTCGAGCGATGGTTCTATTGTGAAGACCTGGGAACCCAGCTCCAACCAGTTATCCAGGAGTTCTTCAACTCCGAGCAACACAAGACAGGCAAACCCATTCCTGGTCAGTCTTAAGATCCATTAATTATTCTGTCTGTCTGTCTGTCTGTCTGTCTGTCTCTCTCTCTCTCTCTCTCTCTCTCTCTCTCTCTCTCTCTCTCTCTCTCTCTCTCTCTCTCTCTCTCTCTCTCTCTCTCTCTCTCTCTCCAGAGAGAGGATGGCTTGGTAATCGATTAAAAAGTTATTGGTGCCACAAGTGAAAGTCACTTATGACTGATGTAATAAACGGAACTGCTGCTCTCGTAGTGCCAGGTGTAACAGTGCCACCAGTCACTTTAATGGTGCCAGGGTTAGGTGTAGCAGTGCCACCAGTCACCATCGTGGTGCCAGGGTCAGGTGTAGCAGTGCCACCAGTCACCATCGTGATGCCAGGGTCAGGTGTTGCAGTGCCACCAGTCACCACTGTAGTGCCAGGGTCAGGTGTAGAAGTGCCATCAGTCACCGTCGTGATGCCAGGGTCAGGTGTAGCAGTGCCACCAGTCACCGTCGTGATGCCAGGGTCAGATGTAGCAGGGCCACCAGTCACCGCCGTGATGCCAGAGTCAGGTGTAGCAGTGCCACCAGTCACCGTCGTGATGTCAGGGTCAGGTGTAGCAGTGCCAACAGTCACCGTCGTGATGTTAGGGTCAGGTGTAGCAGTGCCACCAGTCCCCGTCGTGGTGACGGGGTCAATATGTAATACCAGGGCAAGGCGGGACCAGCATGTAACACCAGGGTTGGACGGGGCCAGCATGTAACACCAGGGCTGGACGGGGCCAGCATGTAACACCAGGGCTGGACGGGGCCAGCATGTAACACCAGGGCTGGACGGGGCCAGCATGTGACACCAGGGCTGGACGGGGGCGGCATCAGGATGTCAAGTTGAGAAGTGTAAAATTTCGCGTCTTGCTCCTGGAGAGTAAGTGTGCGGTGAGTTTTACCAGTGTATACATTCGCTTCACTAAAGAACAAAAAGGCACAATACCGTGACTGGAACAATACATAAACTACCACTATTACTACTTCCACTACCAGTCTTACCACTACCACTACTTTTTTTCCTCTCTTGGTCCCATCCCCGTTCCCCCTCACCTATATATACTGGCTCTCTCATTCTTTTGTGTTAGTATGACTTTGTAAATGGTCCACGTCGGACCAACATGTCATCGTAAGCTTCTCTCTCGTATGTGCAGGTCATTTGTGGATATTTACGTCACTGTTCTATAGTGTCGGTGACTAGGAAAGTACTGCTTCAGAACGCCTTCATGTTGCCCTCTTATTAACATAATGCATCAGCTGTACTTTTTCCTCGTACTACGATGTGAGAGTTCAGGGTATGATTCCTGGTATCCTTCATTAACCCTCGAAATATTAGTTAAATACTTTGTTACGTTCACGAAAGAGTGAAATGTTAGTTTCCTTGACAGGCTTCAAGGACATACGAATTATTCCTTACACTGTGTTATGAATTTCTTGTGGTCAGATGTACACCATCAGTGTGGGATGGTGGAGGTTGTGTCAGCGGTCTATGATCGCGTACAATCTATCGGGATATACATACTACCCGATTTGTTAATGTATATGTGTACTCGTGTCAGGTGCTCCAGCAGGTTAGGTGACACACCTGTAAGCTTTTGTAACAGTACATGGAATAAGGGGAAAAAAAAGGGGGAGAGTATGTACCCACACATAGTTGTGAGTGTGATGTGTTCTGCTTGACAATGATAGGGTAGTACAGCTATTGTAGGTTAATTCATGTGTTTTTTACTTATTTATTTCATGTAATGTCATGTTTTAAATAAAATATAAAAAAAATTATTCCTTACCCTGAATTATGGTGAGCTGACTGAGAGCGTGAAAAGATCGATGCGTGCTTCGTAGTTCAATGGTAGTGGGTTCACCTCACAACCGAAGGACCCGGGTTCATGTCTGAGCGAGACGGAACGATATGAGCAAATCTCTTGCCATTTATTTGTTTTTAATATAATATTTATTTTAATTTTAACGTTTTCTGCCCCTGTTCCCCTTGCAGTATATATATACTTAGGATTTAATCGGCCGTTGTGGTTCGCGTACTAGAAAAGGGCCTAAGAATCCAAGTTGAATTACCCTGGGTTATTAACCTAGTGTCTTCTTTTTTTAATCAAACTATAAATTTAGTGATCTTTTTCCCCAGGGACCATCTCTGATAACCCGCCGTGGCTGCATGATACCGTCAGGAAAGTAGAGGAGCCATTCTCACTTGCCAAGTGGCTGAACAAACATCGTGCTGAGGTATGTTCACTGCCTCACTTCCGTCCTTCAACTCTCCTTCTTATATATCCTCCCATTCCTAATAAGTAATGTGAGACACATGTAGCATACATCCGCCTACTACACGGAATAAAAACACCTGCGTAAGATCGTTGATGGTAGTTGAGGTGTTAGTAGCTACATTTACTTTATAATTTGAGAGTTCCAGTAATGTTGCTAGCAACAATGCTACACTGGAGCATGTGCTTCCATGCAGCATTGTTGTTATCAATATCTCCTGTGTTTCAGTTGTGAATGTGGTAACTATCAAACTCCGTTACCATCAAGGATTTTCGAAGGAAATATCCACTAAAGTCACCGAATTCATCACAGGTGTTTATGTTATTTCATGTGGCTGATGCGACAAGGTTTATGTAGGTAAAATATCGAAGAACCTTGAGCAACGTTTGAAAGAGCACAAGTATGCATGTAGTTGAGATAACTTTAACAACACCTTCGTCTTACTTCAAACTTCCCTGGGATCCCTCACGAGCGGGATGAAACCAGACTGATCATTAAAGACCAGGTTGTGGTGTCTGCAGTTACCGTTGATTGTCACGTCAAATAACAGTCATGCAGAACACCGATAGTTGAGCATATCCAGTGTCTTGGGTAAACTAATATTAATCAAGTGACGTCAGCCCCTGACATCTCTCCCATAAGCTCTACATCTCACCTTGTCCCACCCACATACAAGTATATTATGTTTTTCTGTCTTTGTATTGAACTGACAAACCTCTCTAAACTACGTTCAAAGTGTTATGGTATTGCACTGTTTACATAGTTGCCAGTATTTGATATCATCTTTAATCTGAGTTGACCATATTTGGACATATTTTTAATAGCAATTAATTCTTCTAAAAACACCATTGACTTACGACTTGCAGATACAGCAGGAGGGACAGAAACGGGTTTTTGATCTGAGTTACCAGAGCGACGTGGTAGTGCTGGGGCGCGGGGCACACGACTACCGTCTAGCTCAGGCCGAGACCTGGCTCTGGCAGCTGGTGAGTAGACTGTATTTCATGAGGCTCTAAAACCTGTAGTCGAGGTGGGATAATAACGTCTGCAAATCGCCTTCTGGTCTCTGTCCAGTGAGGCTGGTGAGTAGTAAGTTTATTTAGGTATACACAAATACAGTTACATAGATTATCATACATACCTTAAGACGCCTATAACAATCGGTGCCATTTACCGGATACCTCACACAAACATCCCAAATTTCAGTGAGAAATTAAAGTCACTAATAACAAACAGACAAATGAATAAGCACCACCTTCTCTTAGCTGGAGACTTCAACATCAACCTTGGCTTACTAGATGATCAGCCTGTAACTGATTTCATCAACAATATGAACAACACACTTCTCATACCAACAATAACTAAACCAACCAGGCTCACTGAGACAAGTGCAACCATAATAGACCACATATGGACCAATATACTAGCCCCCCTTAAATCAGGGATAATCACAGATAGCACTACAGACCACTACCCTACCTTCCTCCTGAACAAACATTAGTAAACCACCACTTGAATACAACAAAATCTCATTTAGACTCCATGACGAGGCCTCAGTAAGGAAGTTCACAGCTGACCTAGAGACTGTTGATTGGCCTACAGAATTCTCCAAGGCCAATGGTATTGATGACTGGACAGACATTTTTCTTAACAAATTACTTAGACTATACAACAAACATTGTCCTATAAAAACAAAACAGATCACAAACAAACGGCTTGGTTGCCCATGGCTAACCAGCACCATTCTGAAATCCATTGACAAGAAACACCAATATGAAAAGCAATATAGACAGGGCTTAATACACAAAGATACTCTTAAACGCTATTCATCAGCTCTCACCAAAGTGATAAAAAAAGCCAAACAACTATACTACTCCAGTAGATTCACAGACACTAGAGGAGATATAAAAAAGTCCTGGAAAACACTCTCTCAGATTCTAGGGACCCACAAACTTAGAAAAACCAAGAATATTGTCCTAACTAAACCTAATGAAACACCACTACATCCCACTGTCACAGCTAACAAGATAAACGACTTCTTCTCAAACATAGGATCTAATCTCGCCAGTAAAATCCCACATACCAATGCCCATGCCAGGGACTACCTAGATGGAAATTTCCCTAATTCCTTCTATCTTGCACCAACTGAGCCCACGGAAGTCATTGAGATCATAAAGTCACTTAAAAATAACTCGGGGAATCTGTCTCGTGTCCCACCATTACTGTACAAGCGAGCGGCCCATGTCCTTTCGCATGCTATTTCATTACTTTTTAACAAGTCAATAGAGACTAGCACCTTCCCGAAACTGCTCAAGATGGCAAGGGTTACACCAGTACACAAAGGTGGTGACCCTACAGACTTAAACAACTATAGGCCAATATCTAACTTACCATTGCTATCCAAAATCTTTGAGAAACTCGTGCACAGGAGACTGTATTCATTTATAACGGCTCAAAACATACTCAACCCCTGCCAGTTTGGATTCAGGAAAAATAAAAGCACTAATGATGCAATCATAAAAATGCTAGATCTGCTTTACACAGCATTGGAAAATAAGGAATATCCACTAGGAATTTTTATTGACCTAAGAAAAGCTTTTGACACAGTAGACCACGACATCCTACTCCACAAACTTGATCACTACGGTATAAGAGGCCATGCGCTTGCTTATTTCAAATCTTACATTACTAATAGGTATCAGTACGTCACCATTAAAGACACAGCATCAGCACACGGCCACTTGATACTGGAGTTCCGCAGGGAAGTGTCCTTGGTCCCTGCTCTTCCTCATATAACATCAATGACCTTCCAAACGTATCCCAACACCTGAAACCCATTCTCTTTGCTGATGACACGACTTGTGTCATCTCTCCACCCTAATCTTGCCACCCTCAACACCATTGTGAATGAGGAGCTGATTAAAATATCGACTTGGATGACAGCCAATAAACTTACGCTTAACACTGACAAAACCTACTATATTATGTTTGGTAGCAGAGCAGGAGATGCACAAATTAACATTAAGATTGACAACACTCTAATTACCAGAAATAATGGGGGAAAATTCCTAGGCTTATACCTTGACACAACCTGAATTCAGCACCCATATCCAGCATATATCCAAAAAAGTATCCAAAACGGTTGGGATCCTCTCCAAGATACGATACTACGTGCCGCAAAATGCCCTTCTCACACTATACCACTCACTTATTTATCCATACCTCACCTATGCTGTTTGTGCTTGGGGATCAACTGCAGCAACACACCTAAAGCCAATAATAGCCCAACAAAAAGCTGCAGTAAGAATAATCGCTAAATCCCATCCCTGGCAACACACCCCCCCACTCTTCATAGATCTAAACTTACTCCCAGTTCAGTACATCCACACTTACTACTGTGCAATCTACATCTACAGGGCCTTAAACTCTAATATCAACCTTGACCTAAAACGCATCTCTACGACATTCCCCGTGTCCGACTAAACCTTTACAAAAATTCAATGTATGTCAAAGGCCCTAAAATCTGGAATACCCTACCTGAGAACTCTAGAACTGCAGACACATTCATCACCTTCAAACTACCATTAGAAAACATCTTATCTCCCTGATACACCCCGTCAACTAACTACACGAATACCACCTGGTGGTTCACACTTACACTCACTCACTCATTCGACCATAAACAGAAATATTAATCTCAGTCTTAAAATAATGAATCCTGTGATACTCCAATACTGAAACTATGTACTGTGCCAAAACAAAAGCATTCACATTGCTAAACTCACAAACTAGTATTTAGTCACTTAGCCATAATACCAACTTACCTCATAATTTGTAATATTTTACAATTAAGAATAAAACTAAGTATGCCCGAAATGCCTAGCCATGCTAAGCGTTCTAGTGGTACACTCTGTAATCACAATTTTACTACATGTAAACCAAACAATAACCAAATTTCTGTAAACTCAGCATTGTAATCCTTATAGAGAATAAACTTTGAATTTGAATTTGAATTGAATGGTGCCCCGTGGCCTGGTGGTAAAAGCTCTCGCTTCACACGGTGAGGGTCCTGGTTCGATTTCCGGCGAAGGGGTGGAAACATTCAGTGTTTCCTTTCACCGGTTGTTTATGTTCACCCATCAGTAAAATGGGTACCTGGGTGTTAGTCAACTGGTGTGGGTCGCATCCTGGCACAAAGCTGATCTAATTTGCCCGAAATGCTCTGCATAATTATTTATTATTATTAAAGATTCGCCGGTATTCTCCCGGCCCGGGCCTTTTCCAAGTGGTGGCCCGGCCTTGGCTCCCTCTTTAGGGAGTATCTGAGACCTAAGTCTCCCATGGGAGGAGGTACAAGTACCTCCTCATCTTTGAGACCAATTGAACCCAGGCCTAGCCACAAGCTAGGCCTCTCTGGTCTGCCATCCCCGCCCCAGAGGGCCTAATGGGAATGACAGGCTTGTGAGCTACAAGCTCGGGCTCAGGCACCTACCCTACCCTAGAAGGGCTGGCCATGGTGTCGATGCTCTGTATAACATTGGGCTTTCCATAGTAGCATGTCCTTCAAATTCAAATTCAAATTCAAAGTTTATTCTCTATAAGGATTACAATGCTGAGTTTACAGAATTTGGTTATTGTATTGTTTACATGTAGTAAAATAATAATTACAGAGTGTACCACTGGAACACCTAGCATGGCTAGGCATTTCGGGCAGACTTAAATTAAAGTTTAAAATATTACAAAATTATGAGGTAAGTTGGTATTATGGCTAAGTGACTAAATACTAGTTTGTGAGTTTAGCAATGTGAATGCTTTTGTTTTGGCACTATACAGAGTTTCAGTATTGGAGTATCACAGGCCAACTTATGACTAGTTAAGATTCATTATTTTGAGACTGAGATTGATATTTCTGTTTATGGTCAAATGGGTGAGTGAGTGTAAGTGTTAACCACCAGGTGGTATTCGTGTAATTAGTTGACAGGGTGTATCAGGGAGATAAGATGTTTTCTGATGGTAGTTTTGAAGGTGATGAATGTGTCTGCAGTTTTAGAATTTTCAGGTAGGGTTTTCCAGATTTTAGGGCCTTTGACATACATTGAATTTTTGTAAAGGTTTAGTCGGACACGGGGAATGTCATAGAGATGTTTGTGTCTGGTATTGTGCCTGTGGGTTCTGTCGCAACTATCAAGAAAGCGTTTTAGGTCAAGGTTAATATTGGAATTTAAGGTCCTGTAGATGTAGATTGCACAGTATTAAGTGTGGATGTACTGAACAGGGAGTAAGTTTAGATCTATGAAGAGTGGGGGGAGGGTGTTGCCAGGGATGGGATTTAGTGATTATTCTTACTGCGGCTTTTTGTTGGGTTATTATTGGCTTTAGGTGTGTTGCTGCAGTTGAACCCCAAGCACATATAGCATAGGTGAGGTATGGATATATAAGTGAATGGTATAGTGTGAGAAGGGCAGTTTGCGGCACGTAGTATCGTATCTTGGAGAGGATCCCAACCGTTTTGGATACTTTTTTGGTTATGTGTTGGATATGGGTGCTGAAGTTCAGGTTGTTGTCGAGGTATAGGCCTAGGAATTTGCCCTCATTATGCCTGGCAATTAGAGTGTTGTCGATCTTAATGTTAATTTGCGCATCTCCTGCTCTGCTACCAAACATAATGTAGTAGGTTTTGTCAGTGTTAAGGGTAAGTTTATTGGCTGTCATCCAAGTCGATATTTTGATCAGCTCCTCATTAACAATGGTGTTGAGGGTGGCAAGATTAGGGTGAGAGATGACATAAGTCGTGTCGTCAGCAAAGAGAATGGGGTTCAGGTGTTGAGATACGTATGGAATATCATTGATGTATATGAGGAAGAGCAGGGGACCAAGGACACTTCCCTGCAGAACTCCAGTATCAAGTGGCTGTGTTGTTGATGCTGTGTCTTCAATGGTGACATACTGATACCTATTAGTAAGGTAAGATTTGAAACATGTAAGCGCATGGCCTCTTATACCATAATGGTCAAGTTTGTGGAGCAGGATGCCGTGGTCTACTGTGTCAAAAGCTTTTCTTAGGTCAATAAAAATTCCTAGTGGATATTCCTTATTTTCCAATGCTGTGTAAAGCAGATCTAGCATTTTTATGATTGCATCGTTAGTGCTTTTATTTTTCCTGAATCCAAATTGGCAGGGGTTGAGTATGTTTTGTGCCGTTATAAATGAATATAGTCTCCTGTTTATCTGGAGAGTTTATCTGGAGAGAGTTCTGGGGGTCAACGCCCCCGCGGCCCGGTCTGTGACCAGGCCTCCTTAGGTCAGTGTCCCAGGATGCGACCCACACCAGTCGACTAACACCCAGGTACCCATTTTACTGATGGGGAACATAGACAACAGGTGGAAAGAAACACGTCCAGTGTTTCTACTCTGGCTGGGAATCGAACCCAGGCCCTCACCGTGTGAAGCGAGAGCGTTAACCACCAGGCCACCACGAGTTTCTCAAAGATTTTGGATAGCAATGGTAAGTTTGATATTGGCCTATAGTTGTTTAAATCTGTAGGGTCACCACCTTTATGTATTGGTGTAACCCCTGCCGCCTTGAGTAGTTTCGGGAAGGTGCTAGTTTCTAGTGACTTGTTAAAAAGTAATGAGATAGCATGCGAGAGGACATGGGCCGCTCTCTTGTACAATAATGGTGGGACATGAGACAGATTCCCTGAGTTATTTTTAAGTGACTTTATAATCTCGGTGACTTCCATGGGCTCAGTTGGAGCAAGATAGAAGGAATTTGGGAAATTCCCATCTAGGTAGTCCCCGGCATGGGCATTGGTGCGTGGGATTTTATTGGCGAGATTAGAATCTATGGTTGAGAAGAAGTGGTTTATCTTGTTAGCTGTGTCAGTGGGATGCAGTGGTGTTTCATTAGGTTTAGTTAGGGCAATATTCTTGTTTTTTTTCAGTTTTTGGGTCCCTAGAATCTGAGAGAGTGTTTTCCATGTCTTTTTTATATCTCCTCTTGTGTCAGTGAATCTACTGGAGTAGTATAGTTGTTTGGCTTTCTTTATTACTTTGGTGAGGACTGATGAATAGTGTTTAAGAATATTTTTGTGTATTAAGCCCTGTCTATATTGCTTTTCATATTGGTGTTTCTTATCAATGGATTTCAGAATGGTGCTGGTTAGCCATGGGCAACCAAGCCGTTTGTTTGTGATCTGTTTCGTTTTTATAGGACAATGTTTGTTGTATAGTCTAAGTAATTTGTTAAGAAAAATGTCTGTCCAGTCGTCAATACCATTGGCCTTGGAGAATTCTGTAGGCCAGTCAACAGTCTCTAGGTCAGCTGTGAACTTCCTTATTGAGGCCTCATCATGGAGTCTAAATGAAACTTTGTTGTATTCAAGTGGTGGTTCACTAATGTTTGTCAAGAGGAAGGTAGGGTAGTGGTCTGTAGTGCTATCTGTGATTATCTCTGATTTAAGGGGGGCTAGTATATTGGTCCATATGTGGTCTATTATGGTTGCACTCGTTTCAGTGAGCCTGGTTGGTTTAGTTATTGTTGGTATGAGAAGTGTGTTGTTCATATTGTTGATGAAATCAGTTACAGGCTGATCATCTAGTAGGCCAAGGTTGATGTTGAAGTCTCCAGCTAAGAGAAGGTGGTGCTTATTCATTTGTCTGTTTGTTATTAGTGCCTTTAGTTTCTCACTGAAATTTGGGATGTTTGTGTGGGGTATCCGGTAAATGGCACCGATTGTTATAGGCGTCTTAAGGTTTTTTTACAGTAAAATTAGCAAAAATGTATTCTCCATATTCATCACTAAAGCAAGTGGTGCTAATACAAGATAATTGGTTAGAGTAATAGATTGCAATACCACCCCCAACTTGGTGTGGTCTGCAGTTGTGGATTGCTATGTATCCTGGTAGAGGGTAGATATCTATTATGTCCTGCTTAAGCCAGGTCTCAGTAAGAATAATGCAGGAGAAGGGTGTCTTTAGTGATTCAAGGAGTGCCAGGAGGTCATCATAGTGTTTGCTTAAGGACCTGATGTTGTAGTTAAGTACTGATAGACTTTTAGCATTGTTTAGGATAGTGCTGGCTTGTGATGCTGTGTAGTAAAGGCAGTTACTTTCCAATAGGTTTTGATTGTGTGTCAGATTATGGAGGTTTAGATCAGGGTCAACGTGATCAATCATCTTCTAGGTTTAAATTATGGTTATTTATATCCTGAGTTGTGGGTTGAGTTTTAGTACTGATATCTGTAGTGGTGGGAAGTTTGGACAAGTATATAGCTATAGCATTTTGGTCATGTAGAGTATAGTCACTAATACACATAATGGAGTTGGTGTTGTCTATGTGTTGTGCTGGAATGAGCTAAAGTACAACTAGGTATAAACTAATAATATAAAAATACAAATTAAAAATAGCACAAGACTCTCACTTGTAATTGCACTAAGGTCTAATAATGACTTTGGTATAGTCTATGTATTGACCTAGAATGAGCTATAGTACAACTAGGTTTAATCTAATAATATAAAAACACAAATTAAAAATAGCACCAGACTCTCAGTAGTAATTACACTATGGTCTAATATAATGAATTTGGTACTGACTATGTATTGAGCTAGAATGAGCTATAGTACAACTGAGTTTAATCTAATGATATAAAAAAGGCACAAGACTCTCAATTGTAATTGCACTAAGGTCTTATATAAGTTGTTTACAAGAATTAGAGTATAACTAGATTTAAGTTGACAAGATAAAATATGCAAGTTAAGGTAGCAAAATAATAAAAAAAGTAGAAAAAAAAATATATGAGGTAGTTGGTACTAGTTAGCAAAAGATGGTTAAGGGCCTTGAACAATAATATAATTGAAATATACACTAATTGCACACACAATATAGTCACTAAGATATGAAAACAATCTTAGAATAGGACTTGTAATATAAACTTATAATATAAAAATACAAATTGAAATGGTACTTGCAATTGCACTAGAGTCTGGTATAGGTTGTTGACAAGATCAGGAGTATAACTAGATTTAAATTGACAAAATAAAATTCACAAATTAAAGTACCAAAAGAATAATAAGTAAAAAATAACAATGGCAATGTCTTGGTTATAATATGATAGTAAGATGGTAGACAGGTACACAGGTACACAGGTACAAAGGATAATATAAAGGTTGGAGATGAATATACAAACTTGGAAATTTGGCAACAAAATGTTATGGAAAGTATAAAATAATGATTAATGTACAAAAGTAAAATTGACTGGTAGTAAATATGGTGTTTAATAAAATTTTAGTAAGTAATAATGATTACAAAATAAGTGAAAAAGTAATGTTTATTTCTTTCAAAATTGCACTGGTAGTTATACGTGAGGTTATTTGGCAGTACAAGGTAATTAAGAGTACTCTAAGATAGTAAATGTGGTATTAAAACTGGTTAAGGTAATTAGACAAGTAATGGTTATTAAATGATGTCAAAAATGTTAAGAGTAAATTGTATTGATAGTAAAAATGGTAATTATTAATTTTAGTAAGTAATATCAATTGATAGTATTTAGAAAAAAATAGGTAGTAATATGGACAGAGAAAGTATCGATTCAGCTAATATTTAAGCAAACAATAGTAAATAAGAAAATTAGATAAGGTGACTTATGCTTATTAGTAAAATCACAAAATGAGGTAGTTGATTATTTAATTACTAAGAGATTGTACTACGAGATTTGAACAATAATGGAGCAAAACATACACTACATTACGTAGGCTTTTAGGTTGGACATTTAGTTATTCTCTGTAAGATCAGTATCCCTGAGAAATCGTGATAGATCATTCTCGTTCGTGATTGTGTACAGTTGACCTACATTTGTTTTCCTAACTAGAATTTTCCCATCCCGTGTGAAGCATTGGTGTATTGTGTCATTATTCTCCCGCTTAAGTTTTCTGACTCTATACAGGAGGTTCTGACGTTTTTTGGTAAGACACTCGTTTATGTATACCTCTTTCTTTACTTTAATAAATGCAATTATTAAGTCTTTTTTCCTGTCATGTGAGTGGAATCTAAGCATAACACTTTTTCTATCATGGGATCCTAGTAACCTGGCTTCTTTTATTTCAGACTCAGGTACAATAACACTTGTTTGGTCCTTTATGATCTGTCGAGTAATTTCTTTACTGTTTGTTTGGTTCATATCACTGGGAAAAAGTGGACTGTTAACTATTACTGCGTCCGATAGTTTATCTTGCTCAGTTTTATCTTCTTGGAGAGCAAAGTAGTCACTGAACTTGTTATCTAAGTTGTTCTTCCACTCTTTTACTGCTTCTTCAACCTTTGTATTAAGAGATATTATTTGTTGGGTATGGCTATCTATGACTGTTTGGATGGTCTTGTCACAGTTAGTCATTCCTGGTGTTGATAACTTTTGTTCAAGACTATGCCTGTATGCCATGTATATGTAGTAAATAGATATTATTATTATTATTATTATTATTTTATTATTATTATTATTATTATTACTATTAATTGTAGAGAACCTAGGATAACCCAAAAACGTCAGACTAAGTGAATTATTTCCATTTGGGTCCTTTAGGGGATCTAACCACCACCATTCCTTGCACTGAATGATTTTTTATTCTTATGCATAAGAATTGAATAAAAAAAGGAATGATTACTGTATATTCATTTAATTTTTGCGCAGGAAGGTGAGAGCGAGGTGACTGTAGGTGAGGACACTGTTGTACTGAAGCAGCAGGAATCCCTGCTGGTGCGTGCTGGTGTCCCCTTCCGTCACACCGGCGACGACTCCATCACCCTCTCAGTGGTCATGGATCCTGCTAACAAGGACCGAGGATTCTCCCACCTCAAGAAGCAGCCCAAACCTCTCGAGAAGTAACTCCAAGTTCTCAAGGAGCATCTACAGATTTTCAAGAAGTATCTCCAGGTTCCAAAGTAGTATCTTTAGATTTTCAAGACTTACTTCCTGTTACTCAAAAAAAAAACTGTGTTCTCCACTTTTTATATGAAACTAAGTTCGATATATCAGCATTGTACTGCTCCCATTAAATTTAATATTTACATTGTAGAAACAAGGTTAATATCAGCAATCCAAATTGCTTTGCAATTGTTACCTATAAAGTACACAGAAAAATGGATATTAAAGAAAACGGACGATGGGTAGACTCACGTTAAAAAAAATGCATATTGGACACTAACGCATCACAAAGTGAGACAAAATATGCGTTCCTACGATTTAACTACCGTGGCTGTGGAAAATACTGTATATATTTTCCAGAAATTCAGTATTTATATGATTATAGATGGCCATACTGTATTTAAAAGAATTACATTATGGAAAATGGGAAACTGGACCTGCGTCTGCGCAGACAGGAGACTCGCCATCTTGGTTTTTTAATTTGTATTAAAAACGTTGGTGAATGGGGAAGAATTTTTCGTGCTCTAGAGATTAAAATTGTGTTGACACCTCTCAAATAGGAGGCGAAATTGGTGGATGTGCATTCCTGCATAACTTGAGATATCAGGCGACTGGACAAGACAGCTCCAGGAACCTCAGATAAGTTCTCTAGATTTGTGTATAATTCTGGCCAGCATTATTTTCATAGATTTAGTTAGAGTGAGGTTTTCTGAGTGTGATACACATTAATCTCCAGTCAAATTGGTGAGTGATATTAAGATATATTTTCCTTCTGTTATGTAATTGTGTATATATATAACCATTTATTATTTTTAATATACAGTCCACAAAATTTATATATTTGCCAGTATTCCTGGTTATACATATTTCATTGGTAATTAATAGGTCCAGAGCAACTTGTGGATATGACAGTGGTAGGTATCGAAGGGGGACATTTTTGCGACCTAGGTGTCCCAAATTCCTACTTGTCTATGTAACATTCATAAATAATAATTATCTTTGTTATTTACTGTTATGTACATAATGAGTTACATACAGATAAATGTAATTTTCCACAGTGGCTATAACTTTATAATATACAAGATAATAGCCAACCCCGCTCTTAAGGAGACTTTGATCTAACATAAAGGTAAGCGGGTAAGGCAAAAGCCAAAGCATCGAATTTTAGTTTAAAGTAGCCAGTTATCTTCGAAATGTACGCGTAGATTCTCAGTTTTAAGACAGTCCAGTGCATTCGTGAGATTGCAAGGTGTTGGGAGCAGTGAGAGAAATCATATGTTATGTTGTGAATATCACCAAGATATCCTAGAACAAGGACGGTTAAGATGCTTGAAGAAGAAAATAGTTCAACGGACGAGTGAGTGATGAGTTTATATGCTATGGAGGATAAAGTGTTTTCTGTGAAAGTAGAATAATATGATTTTGTAATTAATCAGAAACAGGTTCCTTTTGAGACTGACAGTGGGGCGTCCACCTCGACTTTATCTAAAGACTGGGTCAAAGCATTAAAAGGACACATTCAACCATGTTCTAGGAAGGTAATTGCATATGATAATTGGAAAATAAACCTTTTGGGAAAGGTTGTTTTGCCGGTACGCTATAATAACTTAGAGGTATCACAAGTGTTCTATGTGGTTCAGTCAAATAATAGTGTATTGTGTGGAAAGAACCTCATGAAAAAGGTAGGGATTTACCTTGCTGGTTTAGATGAATCTTCCAAAATTTACAAACTAGTCACTGCTGAAGAAATGCTTGGTAATTTTAAAGTAGATTCTAGTAAACTTATCTCCAGCATTGTGACCACAATTCATGTGAGAGTGATGTTGTCCCTAAGTTTGTTAAAGCGAGTCCAATACTATTTTTTTTTCCACAAAGAATTGACTGAAGCAGAATTAGAAAAATTAGTACAGAAAGGGATTGTTGAGCCTATTTCCCATAGTATGTACCTTTTGTACCTGTATTAAAAATTGAGTCTAAGTCTGTGAGGATATGTGGGAACTTTAAATATATAAATTAACAGATTCATTGTGAGAGATATCCTCTACCCAGGATTGAAGAATTATTGTCTGTAGTGGGTAATGGTAAGATATTTACAAAATTAGATTTAAAGAATGCCTATTTACAGGTACCTGTAGATAAGAGGAGCCGACAGCTTTTAGTAATTAATACCCACGTGGGAATTTTTAAATGTAAGAATATAAGAGACTACCTTTTGGAATTTCCTCACCTCTTGGTATCTTCCAAAAATTTATTTCACATTTGTTTGTTAGACTGGAAGGGGTAGCATCCTATATGGATGATATAATATGTAATGCCACAGAAGCTGAGCATGATGCCAGACTCAGGCAGGTGTTGAAGATTTTACAAGAGTATATTGTAGTACTGAATAAGAGTAATTCAGTGTTGAATATCTGGGGTGAGATTTCAGGGGAAGGTATTAAGCCTCCTAAGAAGAGTGAGGCTGTTGTAAATTTACCATCCCCTAAGTCCATAGGAGAAGTTCAGTCCTTTGTGGGGATGGTGACATTTAATTCTAAATTAATTAGGGCATTTTTTCCAGAATGGTCTGTAATATACCACTAGATAAAAACTTTGTCAATTCTTGAACATTTCTGAGTGATTTGTCTTTAAATTCATTAATTTTATCGCACTCCAGTACATAATGACGCAGGGTGTGACAGTAGCCCATCTGGTAAAGTTTACATTTCGTTTGGTCTGCATCTGGTAGTGGTGATTTAACCTGCCAAAGATACTTGTAACCCAGCCGGAGCCGGGCAGTAGTGACATCCAAGAGTCGGCTTATTTTGTTGGATGCACCATAGACATGTGGCTCCTCCTGCATGATAGAATGATGATAGATGGACTGACTTGTGTCAATCTCCCTAAGTCTTAAGTCAATAAAGTTCAGTTGAAGTTCTTTTCGTATTATTGTTCTCAAACTGCTAACTGACAACCCAAGATTGTAATCTACTCCCTCTTTGAGAGAGTATAACTTAGCCAATTTATCAGTTCTATCATGCATCTGAAGACCAATGTGAGATGGAATCCACACACCATGTGCACTCTGACTCCACTGTCCACAATCTTACCATACCTGTGTCTGGCTTCTGACACAAGCATGCCACAATTTATACTTAATGAATAACAAAAAAAGGCACAATGACTTGAGAGCATTTATGGATGACAGAGAATCAGTTACAACTGAAATGTCAACCTTAGATACATGGACGCATTTCAGTGTAAGGAGTATGGCAAACAGTTCTGTTTGAAGGGTAGAGGCCCAATTATTGATGCGTGCTCCAATTTCTTTATGAGAGCCATCACTCTGTACGACAACAGCAGCACTACCAGCTGCACCAGTGGATTGCTGTACGGAACCATCAACGTAGATAATTTGTGAGAGAGTGTTCTGGTGCCCAACGTTTTGGGAGAGGTGAACCTTGGATTGAAGGAAAGATTGTGGAGGTATTAAGATTAGGAATTATAAACTGCAACTTAAAGGCTTTAGTAATATGATATGGAAAAGGGATACTGATCAACTCATGCCAAGGTTTAGGAGTGATGGAGAGCAAACACTGATTCCAACAGTACCAAAAGCTGTAAGGAGTTGGTAATTCCTGGCCAGTATAGAAACAGGGCACCTTTATGGCCATAGGAACTACCCACAATAGATAATAGTGGTATTAAACTTTAGTATCAGGTTAGTATTGGAGGAAGACCCTCCTGGGAGGTTTGATGATGACAACAACAATGTGAGAGGAGAGTTTGCACCTCAGGACAACGCCATCCCTCCATATCTCAGGCGTTCCAGAAGAGTAGTCAAACCTCTGGATATGTGGGATTTATAAGTTAGTTTGATAAACTAATCTTGTATTGGAATAATACAACCTGTTTTGATGATATATAATTTAGAAGGGAAGGATTGTGAGATGGGAGCAATGAGAGAATTAAATCCTGTTATATTGTGCATGTCAATCACCTTTTCTTTGATGTTGTTCTTGATTGGGAACTCAGATAGTACAGTTGTTACTGTCACTCTGGCTTTCATTATCCCCCACAATCATAGCAGAAAGTATCCAGTTTAAGGTAAGTGTTAACGCCAGTTCTAGGTAACTTCTCGGATGCTCACATAAAAAAATGTAGACCTCAGATAAATAGCAAAACGAGAATATTTCTAATGACTTTACACTGGTAAGTTTTGACGTTATTGCGTTGTTTACCAGTTCCGGCACCTCATCTGCTATCCTGCTATTATTGAGTTGAATCAGTTCTGTGTAGTTGACTGCAAGTCTGCGTTCCAGGGAAAGTATTATGCCCATAAGTATGGAAAGGCTATGGAAAATCCATTGCCTCTCCCATTAAGTAATCTGTATATGGAGTTTGTGGAGAGTAAACTGTTGAAAGATGTCCTGCCTCACGAAGCCACGTACGGCCGACCTCCATGGATCTGGACACATTTTTACCGAGACTTAACTCGCTTGAGGCTTACATCCCTCAAGAGGTGTAAGCCTGCAAGCTGGTGAGGGGCTCTTGATCTAGGGAATTGGATCTATGCTCCAGTTCCCTGAACTGAACCTGAATACCTTCCATATCCCCCCCAGGCGCTGTATAATCCCCACAGGTTTAGCGCTCCCACATTAATAATAATAACTGAGGTTTACATATTAAATAACAGAGGACAACATCAAATTTCTGAATCTGTCTCCATAATTAGTAATCTGATGAAGACAAAAATAAATTACGAAAATAAAAGTTTGAATAATTTCCTGCTACATTAAACATGAAGTTAAATAACACTCATAATACTATTTATATAAAGATTTAAAAATGTTGTGAAGATTGTGAAAAAAAGTGTTTTGTTGTAATGACTGAAAATACAGTTTGTAAAACTAAGAAATTGAGCAACCTCTTGTTTTTTAATAAGTAACTGAAGGCAGCCTGAAGGCAGCCTGAAGGCAGCCTAAAGGCAGCCTGAAGGCAGCCTGAAAGCAGCCTGAAAGCAGCCTAAAGGCAGCCTGAAGGCAGCCTGCTGTTGACCGACGGATAATGCATCTTACTATGTGGAACTGTATTTATGTGTACATATACCTAAATAAACTTATGTTACGAGAGAATACATCGAACCAAATAATAATAACAATAAACTGAGCAGTAAACTGAAAGGATGATAAAGCACTACAGGGAATTATTATTATTATAATCAAGGGGGAAACGCTAAACCCGGAGGATTATACAGCGCCTGGGGGGGGGGGATGTGGAAGGCATTCAGACTTAATTCGGGGAATTGGAGCACAGATCCAATTCCCTAAATCAAGAGCCCCTCACCAACATCAAGTAACCTTCCTTGAGGGGTACTACAGGGAAGAGTATGATAAAGGAGGAACATGTGGAAGACAGGAACGAGTGAGGGAGAGGAGGGTGCCAAGGGAGTGGGAAGTGCAAAACGTATATTAAAATTCAATTTAATTTTCGTTTAATATCTTTATTATGCACCCAATATCCACCCTGTGGGTGGTAGTCAAGAGAATAACAGAGGTATATAATGAGTCCAGGGACTGAGCCCCAAAATTTTGATAGATGAACAAGTTACAGTGAGGTTCAACTGTTACATGTTTATATCTGGTTACAAAGTTGGTGCAAGAAATTAGTTTCGGTTCCAAATTGATTTAGGGAATTGGATCTGTGCTCCAGTTCCCCGAATTAAGCCTGAATGCCTTCCACATCCCCCCCCCCCAGGCGCTGTATAATCCTCCGGGTTTAGCGCTTCCCCCTTGATTATAATAATAATAATAATTCGGTTCCAAGATCAAGGAAAAAGTTCATCAAAGACGTCACTTTGTAAGTTTATTCAGGTAAATGAAAATCAAAATATTTATTTCCTTGCAAAGTTTATAATGTGTGGTTTACATTATAAAATATTAATTACAAAGAAGGCCTCTAGCATGCCTAGGTATTTCGGGCACAATTATGTACAAATACAGTTGTATAGATTATCATACATAGCAGCATATGTGTACAGAACCTAAGATAACCCAAAAAAAGTCAGTGACAAATTTCCATTAGGGTAGTTTGGGTCAGTGTGACGTCAGAAGTGAATCCACTGATAATATACCAGCAGTAGATACTATAACATTACCTTGGTAATATATTATTATATTATGGCATGTCTCTTTTAATGTATTCTTGCATCATAGAATAAAATTTCATAAAACAGTGTGCTCATCATTATTCAAAGGAATAAATTAACATTCTAAGTTTTGTTTTATATTTATTCTGATAAAACTGGTCAATAATGGTAGAATTACTGACAAGATGTTAGATAAAAGGACACATGTGCAACTAATGTGTCTGTAACGTCGAAATTTATGGACTTTTTATATGATTTTTTAACTTCTTGACGAAGCTCCTGTAGAACAAAACGTTGCCACAATAAAATGTCAATAAAATGCGCCAACTCGATCGCTAGCGCACTCATCTCACATACTGAGATCCGGGGATCGATCCCCCGGCACGGCTGAAACCATTAAGGCGTGTTTCCTTAAAAATACTTGTTGTCCACTGTTCACCCATCAGTAAAATGGGTACCTGGGTGTTAGTCGACTGATGTGGGTCGCATCCTGGGATAAAATTGACCTAATTTGCCCGAAATACTCTGCATAACAAGCGGCTTTCTATATAGTAGTATGTCACTGATGTCAGATAGGACTGTATACCTTGTATATGTACTTGTAGAAATAAAGATTTATTATTATTATTATTATTATTATTATTATTATTATTATTATTATTATTATTATTATTATTATTATTATTATTATTATTATTACTTGGTTAGGTAATATTTATCAGGACACGACAAATATTTCCTGAGGTGGGTCATACTCATATGATGACCCGCCATGAGTTGATGTGGTCATCTGACCGAGTCCTTCCACTGGCTTACCGCTCCACCCTTTAAAAATTAAGGATGTAATTATAACCCTTATTGATCACATTAGTTGTATATGTGTCCTTTTACCAAAAATAGTCAAGTTTTAGAAAAACTAAAAGAACAACTGGTTTACATCTTTCAACATGTTGAAAACCAACGAAATTTGTGTTGATTCACCATTAATCATCATTTAAAGAAAAGTAATCAAAAGACTGAAATTTCATTTATATGGAGAATGTGTAACTATGAGTACAAGCTATAAATAAAGATAAATTAGCATTTTGTGAATTGAAAGATGTGTGTTGTAGTGTTGTGGCTCCAGCATGACTCCGGCAGCTGTTGCTCCGGTGACCAGCGTGGGAACTATGAAGGAAATATTATTTGCTCAGCGTCTTGCTGACAACGAGAAAAAAGTTAGAGATAAAGCTCTTAAGAAGCTTAAAACATATTTGTCGGTTAAATCGAGTGGTGGACGCGGTAAGTTGCTTTGATATTTGGTATAGTGTACCTGAGTCAAGCTACACAGCACATGGCAGCGCTGTATAGCCCTTGTGGCTTAGCGCTTCTTTTTGATTATAATAATAATAATACACAGCACATGGAAACATGATTATTTGTAGAGTTTATTTACCATTTTGGGGGGATTAAAGTATTCTTGGTCGCTGGTGTAGACGTTATGCAGCCTTAGTAATCCACACGTGTGTCTAGAGATAACGAAGGTAATGGCTTATCGAAGTCTTAGTGGCTAGATGGTCACCCGCCCAGTCACTGGCCAGACAAGACGTTTAAAAATTACGTGAGCAAATGCTAGGACTTATTTATTAGACAGCAGTTTCCTTTAAACCAGTTTGTCGGTATCAGTTACCAGGGTTTGTACCATACACAAAAACGAAGCAACATTGCAGCAGGCCTACTGGCCCATGCTAGGGAGGTCCAACTCACACCCACTCATGTACCAGTTCAGTCTATATTCCTAGTTTCCCAAAGTTGTTACCTCAGTGACACTGCCTGGGAGTTTGTTCCACTCGTCTACAACCAGTGCTTCCCTACCTTATGTTCTGACCAAGAAATGGGCATATTCACACATCCATTACAGAATTGCATAATAGCTCTAATCTTCAAAGGTGCAAAAATACAACGTAAGGCAGTGACTCCAGGATCTCAGTGAAAATAAGCTGCATTGTTTCACTGTTAGGTTATCTTGAGTTAAATTTACCTTTAATATTATACTTGTGTGCACTTCATAAAACATCGTAAAAATTAAAGGTAATACGTAATTGAATATTGCTTCTCTGTGTATTTTAGTGACAAAATATATGTAGGTCAAGATGCCCAACATTATTATTTTTTTTTTTTTGGCATGGATAGTTTTATGTTGTTCATTTGGGAAAAAACCTAATGAAACTTAATATAACATTGGCCAATAGCACTGGCTTGACTCAAATACTAGCCATTGATTGGCCCCAGACTTGGCATTTGAGCCAAGAAATAACTATTTCTTCTATGGTGTTAATAGGTTGTATGTATTGTTAACTATACAGTAATGCTTGAGTTTCACCAAGGACTGGCATTCAATAACAGTTGAATTTATTGTGTGAAACCTATATTAATTCTTGTACATACACTGCCTAACCTATCCTCAGTGTGCATTTACAAGGAAATCAGTATGTTTTTCATCTTTTAATGTAGGCATTATAGCCATTGAGAGGGTATATACACATGTTTGTACATACACTCAATTTACTTCATTCCTTGTTTTAATAATTAAGGTTTTTCATAATGTTAGGTGAACTGTGGTAGTATCAGGAAAGTTATATAAATAGTGGCAGGAACTATTGCTTAACATAACATTATTTGATTTTTCATAACTTTATTCTTGTAAATGACAGGTAATTATTTATTATGTAGCTACAGTTGAAAAGTATCAACCACTGCAACTTCTTTGGCTTAGTTTTGAAATTTGCTTTTCATGATTTTACATTAATATATTCCAGTATAAATTAGAGTAAGAAATTGCAATATGTATTGATCAAATTATAGTTTTTCATATTTATGTTAACTATGTACCAAAATAAATCAGAATGGGAAATCTGTCATGTATTCATGCTTTCATTTTAGATTTTTCATGATGAAGAACATACCCTGACTATTTTAATATATGTTTTAATGATTAGACATTTTTTAATAAACTGCATATGAATGTATTTATGTATATACATGTGTGTTTATTTATTTTTGTATATATATGTATGTACCATATTTACAGGGCTTTCTGATGATGATGCTTTAAAGATTTGGAAAGGACTTTTCTACTGCATGTATATGGCTGACAAACCTCTCATCCAGGTAATTTGCTTTTTTTTATGTATAAATTTATTGTATTTTTGTTTTCAATATTATAGGTACTACCTCAGCTCTTTGAGGTAGCACTGTGCTCCATATTTTATTAATATAATGGTTTTTAGACCTTTCCAATAATTTAGGTGTTTATCTGAGTTTGGGGGTGGCAAATGTCCTCTGCACAGTTTTTAGGTTGACACTTTTCTAGCTTTAAAAATGGGGCTGTTATTGTAAAGAAATAATCCAGACCTAAGAAGTACACCTGCTGTAAAAAAAATCATCATCATCATCAGCTGTTACTCTGTTGAGTTCTTTTAAAATAAGATGTATACTTCAGCATAGTTACCAGTATTCTTAGGTTTTTATAGCATGGGTTGATTTTTTATTTTTTGTTTTTAGGCAGCTTTAATTTTATCATATTATATTTACCCATCTTCTAGTAAATACCAGGTAAGGTATTGATGGTATTACCTTCTCTCACTTGTCACTTCATTTACATGCTTTGCATAAAAAGGTGGCAGTGTGTTAAGGAACTCTGTTGACTATTTATTTACAGTTGCAGCCTTACACTTCAGACTTAGGTAAAATATTTCAGTGGTGTTTTAAAAAATCACTCATTGGATACTTGTTTATTGAGATTGTTGCACAGTATTCTGTTTTCTATTTGCTTCACAGGAGGATTTAGCAGAGGAGATAAGCAGCATCTTCAGCATAATCAACAACAGAGATGATTGTCGTAGTTTCATCAAGGCAGCCTTTACCACATTTGCTCGTGAATGGAATGGAATTGACGTATTTCGTATTGACAAATTTATGATGGTAAATGTTACCATTCTAAGTGGTTTTATAATTTATAGTCATGATATATATAAGATGGAATGGAGGACTATACATGAAATTTCAACAGTGCACTGTGTTAATAATAAAATATGAAAAACATTTCAGTGTGTTTGGGGACAATGGGTTTTATATAATAGTTTGATTTGTATCTTGGCCTTAACTGACTTGTGATAGTGTTTAAAATTCAGCATTGAATTTTAAACAATGAGGGAAAGAAAGATGATGGGAAAGTTAGGTTACTGATAATAATTTTTATTATTGGGATTTCATCAGATGTAATGAAGAATTAAATTACATCACTTCAGTATTCAAGAATTATTTCATTCATGAATGTATAAAACTATTTTAAAAAATTAATAAATTAAGCTAAAAAATATCTTGGGAAGAATGAGTTTTAGAACTTAAAAGTTGTTGAAGTAACCGGGTGACTAAAATTTACCCTTTGTGAATTATAGTTTATTAACTAATAACTAATTGTATAGAGGGCAAACAACTCTTTTGAGTATAGTACTGTAGAGTAAATATTACTTTTTTCTTAATTGGGCTGAAAGTTCATTTGAAAACCTGTCTGAATACTATACTGTGGGGTGACCCTATGGCCTGGCTGGCAAAGCTCTCACTTCACACACAGAGGGCCCAGGTTGGGTTCGATTCCCAGCAGGGTAGAAACATTTTGACACATTTCCTTACACCTGTTGTCCTGTTCACATAGCAGCAAGTAGGTACCTGGGTGTTAGTCGACTGGCGTGAGTCACATCCTGGGGACAAGATTGAGGACCCCAGTGAAAATAAGACATACAGTCCTCAATGATGCACTGCCTTTCTTGGGTTATCCTGGGTGGCTAACCCTGTGGGGTTAAAAATCCGAATGAAATCTTATTGCACACTCACAAAAAAAAAAAAAAGTTTTATATATATTCTTTAGGTCTTGTGTTATTTACTTTCTTGTTTGCAATTATTATTTCATTTAATGGTAAACTTGTGATATTTAACAGTAATCTTAATTCTGAGTATTTTAAAGCTTGCTCTTGGTTTACCTCTGTTTGCAGTTTGTGAGAAGGGTGTTGCGTCAGGTCTTCGTTTATTTACGAAATTGTGAGTGGGACATGAAAGAAATATTGTCATTTACTACAATCCTAGAAGTGACTGTGGTATGTCCCGAGGATGATGTAAATGCTACCCCATTGGGACTTAAATTTCATGTCTGTGACATCATTCTTGAAGAGCTAGCAAAGATTGGAGGAGAGGCTCTTGATAACCGAGTCATAATAGCCATTTTGAAGCCATATTTCAAGGTATTGGCCTTTTTTTTTAGTCTCTCTGTAAATTTTCAGTGTTTCTGTATAATTTTTTTTTGTATGTACTGCAGCCCTACATTATCCTCTTTGATTGTATTTTTTCCATTGAGTATTGTTATGCTTATACTGTATTTTATTTCTAGTACTTTCCCAACAACATTTGTTGTTAAGATTTCACCCACTTTGAGTCCTGTTCTAAACCAACCATTTCTCTGTTCGTTAACCCTTTCACTGTTGGTCCCGTAATATTATGGATTACAAGCCAGTGTCAGTCATGTAATAGTACGCCAAAATTCTAGCGGCTTCCAATCTTGTGGGAGAAAGTTGGTAGGCCTACATATGAGAGAACGGTTCTAAGTGGTCAGTGTGTTCAATATAAAAGAAATCCTGCAGCACACAGTGCATAATGAGAGAAAAAAAAGTGTTTTTCGTTTAAAACAGCGAATATGCTGTGCATTTTCAGTTGGTATTTGTGGTTGTATTCTCGTATTCTTGGCTTCATTTTATAGAATGGAAAATGTATTACAGAACTAGAGATGATTTTGAATGGTTTACGCACTAAAAGTACCTTGAAATTAACCTCGGAGTAGCGGAAATTTTCAATTTTTGCCAGTGTTCAAGAGTAAACAAATCATGTTAGGCATCCAATGCATGTCAACTGGTGGGTTTTATATGCTTTTACAGATGCACTGATATTAGTTATTCCAATTTTACAATAATGCAGTAGTCTGCATAACAGTAAATTTCTAGTTTTTTGTTTTAATAAAAATTCAAAATGGAAAGCCAGCGTAATATAAGTGGGGCCTGGAGACTTGACTAATGAACAGAGAAAATGTTTTTTAGTGCTAAGAATGTTTGCATTGTTAATTCTGGACACTATTTGAAATTGGCCTTCCATGAATTGTGTATGAAATTGGACAAATTAATAATTTCTGATCACTTTATTGGGCAGTTAAAATTGGAAAATGGGCAGTTTCTTGTACTCAGTCAATAGAACATAAGGAGTTCTAGCGAAATAGCTATGAGTTTGGTCGACAGGAACAATAGAATTGGCCGACAATAGGGCTCAAAATGGGCAAAATCACCGATGCATAAATATCGCTGAGACCTCTAACTTTGTGAGAGTGTAATTCCATAAGTTTTCCATAAAATTTTGTACTTTTGGTGCCATTACCATTGGGAAAAGATTCTCTATCATTTCATAATTTTTTTTTTTAAGTTCTTTGACACAGAGCAAGTTTGTGAGCAGGGGTCTTGACAGTGAAAGGTTTATTCAGGTCTCCAGGCCTCTCCTTTGTAACACTTGCCCTCCATTTGGAATCCATCATCATACAAAAAATGAAAGTTTTACCCTGTTTCTCAGATAATGAAATATAACCAAGAATAATTTGGTCATGGTTTAGGCCATCCCAATAATTGAGAGCCACATACATTTGTTTAAATTTTGTTTAATATAATTTTGTCTGTGGCAACTGTCAGGCTCATATTCCAACTTAACATGAGTTATTTCACAGGTTCTAGCCTTGACAAGCCAATATGTGTACTTCAAAAGTGTCAGCGAAGGAATAGTTCGCCATCTGATGCGCCAAAGTAGTCTGGGAGTCAAGCATGAGGATGGTCAGGCAAAAGCTAACACAGAAAATGAAGGAGATGAAGAAATGGCTGATAGAGAGTCAGAGGATGGGTAGGAACTTGTGTTTTCACCCCCTCCTGAGTGGAGACATTGCCCTTTCCACCTCCAGGATTCAAGTGTAGCTAACTAGTTTTCCCTGAATCCTTTCATAAATGTTACTGTGCTCACACTCAGACAGTTTGTTCATGAAAACCCCCTTTTCTCCATTCACTCTTAACATGCTCACACCGCTAAAACTCAAGGCACTTCCTTATCCTGTTCCTCCCAGTCACTGCTAGGATGACACTTACCCCTATTATTACCTTCAATCCCATTTTGCCATCATCTTTTCTTTGGTTCACTTCTTTCTTCTTTCATAGATCTATCTTTTGACATGTTTGCTCAAAAACATGTGAAGGCTGTTTTTTTTTTTTTTTTTTTTTTTTTAACCCTTTCAGGGTCCATCCCGTAGATCTACGGCCTTACGTTCAGGGTCCAAACTGTAGATCTACGCCATGAGCTCAGCTCACTCTGATAAGCTGTGAGTGGTACATCTATGTGGTATGTGTGCACCACATAAAACAAATCCTGCAGCACACAGTGTATAATGAGAAAAAAAACTGAGACCATGATTTTCGATTAAAACAGCGACTTTGCAGTGTTTTTTCGTATGTTTTTTATAGTTGTATTTGTGATTTCTTGGTCTCATTTGATAGAATGGAAGACATATTACAGAATTGGAGATGAATTTGATTGGTTTTAGTACTGGAAATGGCTTGAAACTGAGCTCAAAGTAGCGGAAATGTTAAATTTTTGTCGATGTTCAAGAGTAAACAAATGACCTCACACGTCTAATACACGCCAGCTGGTGGGTCTAATATACATTCACAAATGTGATGATGATATTTATACAATTATTACAATATTGTATAACAGTAAATCTTCTATTTTTTAGTTTGAATAAAAATTCATTATGTGAATAAAAAATAAAAATGGAATTCATTTGTAAAGCCTGAAAACATAACAAATGAGCAGAGGAAATGCTAGTTTAGTGTCAGGAATGCCTGCATTATTTATTCTGGACCTTATTTTGAACTTTGTGTTAAATTGGCCAAATTACCAATTTCTGATCACTTTATTTTGTAGTTGAAACAGTTGACTGGGCAATTTCTTGTGCTCAATCGATAGAATAAAAGTAATACCAGTGAAATAGCTAAGAATTTGGTCGACTGGAATATTGTAATTGGACTAAAATGGGAGTCAAAGTCGGCAAAATCGCCGATTCGTAAATATCGCTGACACATCAAAATTCGCGAGAGCATAATTTCGTCAATTTTCCATCAAATTTCATACTTTTTGTTTTATTACCTTCAGAAAAAGATTCTCTACCATTTCATAAGAAAAAAATAAATTTATTTTTTGAAAATTCTTGGACACTTGTGCACACTTGGAAATTTGGCCTCTGGACCCTGAAAGGGTTAACAAGTCAGCTGTCTCCCACCAAGGCAGGGTGACCCAAAAAGAAAGAAAATCCCCAAAAAGAAAATACTTTCATCATCATTCAACACTTTCACCTCACTCACACATAATCACTGTTTTTGCAGAGGTGCTCAGAATACAACAGACTTGAAGCATATACAGTGGACCCTCAACCAGCGATATTAATCCGTTCCTGAGAGCTCATCGTTTGTCAAAATTATCGTTAGTCAAGTTAATTTTCCCCATAAGAAATAATGGAAATCAAATTAATCTGTGCAAGACACCCAAAAGCATTGAAAAAAAAAAATTTTACCACATGAAATATTAATTTTAATACACACAAACTGAAGATTACATGCACATTTACATGACACTTACCTTTATTGAAGATCTGGTGATGATTGATGGAATGGGAGGAGGGGAGAGGTGTTAGTGTTTAGAAGGGGAATCCCCTTCCATTAGCACTTGAGGCAGCAAGTCTTTTTCTGGGGTTACTTCCCTTGTTCTTTTAATGCTACTAGGACCAGCTTCAGAGTCACTGGACTTCTGCCGCACAACATATCTGTCCATAGATACCTGTACCTCTCGTTCCTTTATGACTTTCCTAAAGTGGTTCACAACATTGTCAGTGTACAGGTTGCCAACATGGCTTGCAGTAGCTGTGTCAGGGTGATTTTCATCAAAAAAGGTTTGCACTTCAAGCCACTTTGCAAACATTTCCTTTATCTTAGAAGTAGGCAACTTCTTCAATTTCTCTCTCCCCTCCTCTGAAGCAGTCTCCTCAGGTCTGCCCTCTTGCTGTTCAAGATGATCTAGCAGCTCATCAGTGGTTAGTTCTTCACTGTCCTCCACCACCAACTCTTCCACATCCTCCCCACTAACCTACAACCCCAAGGACTTCCCCAATGCCACAATGGATTCCTCAACTGGCATAGGATTCTCAGGGTTAGCCTCAAACCCTTCAAAATCCCTTTTGTCTACACATTCTGGCCACAGTTTTTTTCCAAGCAGAGTTCAATGTCCTCTTAGTCACTTCCTCCCAAGCCTTACCTATAATGTTTACACAATTGAGGATGGTAAAATGATCTTTCCAAAACTCTCTTAGAGTCAGTTGAGTTTCTGAGGTCACTACAAAGCACCTTTCAAACATAGCTTTTGTGTACAGTTTCTTGAAGTTTGCAATGACCTGCTGGTCCATGGGCTGCAGGAGAGGAGTGGTATTAGGAGGCAAAAACTTCACCTTAATGAAGCTCATGTCCCTAGAAAGTCGCTCTGCCAAGTCTGAAGGATGACCAGGAGCATTGTCAAATACCAGGAGGCACTTAAGGTCTAATTTCTTTTCAATTAGGTAATTTTTCACATTGGGGGCAAATGCATGGTGTAACCAGTCATAGAAAAAGTCCCTAGTGACCCATGCCTTACTGTTTGCCCTCCACAGCACACACAAATTAGCCTTGAGGACATTGTTTTTCCTGAACACTCTGGGAGTTTCAGAGTGATACACCAATAAAGGCTTCACTTTGCAATCACCACTAGCATTGGCACATATCAACAGAGTAAGCCTGTCTTTCATAGGCTTATGTCCTGGGAGTGCCTTTTCCTCCTGAGTAATGTACGTCCTGCTTGGCATTTTCTTCCAAAACAGGCCTGTTTCGTCACAATTAAACACTTGTTCAGGTTTCAGTCCTTCACTGTCTATGTACTCCTTGAATTCATGCACATATTTTTCAGCTGCTTTGTGGTCCGAACTGGCAGCCTCACCATGCCTTATCACACTATGTATGCCACTACGCTTCTTAAATCTCTCAAACCAACCTTTGCTTTCCTTAAATTCACTCACATCACTAGTTGCTGGCATTTTTTTAATTAAAATCCTCATGCAACTTTCTAGCCTTTTCACTTATGATCGCTTGAGAGATGTTATCTCCTGCTATCTGTTTTTGGTTCATCCACACCAATAAGAGTCTCTCAACATCTTCTATCACTTGCGATCTCTGTTTCGAAAGCACAGTTGCACCTTTGGCAAGAACAGCTTCCTTGATTGTCGTTTTCTTGCCCACAATAGTAGCGATGGTTGATTGGGGTTTATTATACAACCTGACCAGCTCAGAGACACGCACTCCACTTTCATACTAAGCAATGATCTCTTTCTTCATCTCCATAGTAATTCTCACCCTTTTTGCTGTAGGGTTGGCACTAGAAGCTTTCTTGGGGCCCATGGTGACTTATTTTGCAGGTGCAATCACTACAAAGGCTGTGATAATATGAAATGTTCCAGTTGTTGTATGTTTGGAAGCGACCGCGGTGGCTGGCTGGCTTGTAAACACTGGCACCCAAGGGACAAGTGAGGCGCGCTCAGGCCAAAGTGGACGCGTATGGTATGGAACGAATAGCGCTGGTCGGGTTTTTAAGCGCTAGTTGAGGCAAAATTTTTGCGTTAAAATGTATCGCTAGTCAGATTTATCGCTAATCGATGCCATCGCTGGTCGTGGGTCCACTGTACATATAAAGATACACTACATGTCCCTCCAAACTGCCAATATCCCAAACCCCTCCTTTAAAGTGCAGGCATTGTACTTCCCATTTCCAGGACTCAAGCCCAGCTATATAAAAATACTGTAACTGGTTTCCCTGAATCCCTTCACTAAATATTACCCTGCTCGCACTCCAACAGCTTGTCAGGTCCCAAATACCATTCGTCTCCATTCACTCCTATCTAACACGCTCACGCACGCTTGCTGGAAATCCAAGCCCCTCACTCACAAAACCTCCCTTACCCCCTCCCTCCAACCTTTTTGAGGACGACCCCTACCCCGCCTTCCTTTCCCTATAAATTTATATGCTCTCCATGTCATTCTGCTTTGATTCATTCTCTCTAAATGACCAAACCACCTCAACAACCCCTCTTCAGCTCTCTGACTAATACTTTTATTAACTCCACACCTCCTAACTCTGAATTCCCTCTCCTCAGTCAGATATTCAAGCTACCATTACCTAGACATTTTGTTACCCTCAGCATTTTACTTCTCTTCTTATTTTTGCCTTCCTTGACAAATGCATCCACTAACCTTTGCAACTTGTCTTCTGAATTTTCCAAAAGAATTATCATTGTTAGTTTTTTTTTTTTTTTTTTTTTCCATGTACAGTGGACCCCCGCATAACGTTGGCATCACATAACGTTAAATCCGCATACCGATACATTTTATCGCTAAAATTTTGCCTCGCATACCGCTAAAAAACTCGCTCAAGGCTATTCATCCGAGACGCGTCTAATGTGCGACCTGAGCCAGCTTCACATGTTCCGCCGGTGGCATTGTTTACCAGCCAGCCTCCGCGGCAACATCCAAGCATACATTCAGAATATTTCATATTATTACAGCGTTTTTGGTGATTTCATCTGCAAAATAAGTGACCATGGGCCCCAAGAAAGCTTCTAGTGCCAACCCTACAGGAATAAGGGTGAGAATTACTATAGAGATGAAGAAAGAGATCATTGCTAAGTATGAAAGTGGAGTACGTGTCTCCGAGCTGGCCAGGTTGTACACAAAACCCCAATCAACCATCGCTACTATTGTGGGCAAGAAAACGACAAT